AGGAGCCATCCCACCACCTTTCCACGATGCTAATATTGAGGTCATAGCCCCTCATGCGTGCACATGCCTCTAGCTCTTCTTGTTTATTTCCCATGCTCCTTGTGTTCACATAGAGGCATTTAAGGTGGGCTCCCGATGGATTCCAGTGAGATCAGAAATACCTTTACCCAAGGAAGGAGATGGTAGTTTAATGCCTGGATTTGTGTTTCTTCTGGTTTTGCATGGGAAGATAACATTTAAATTGCTGCTCAGTTACAATTTGTAATAGCATAGCTATGTTTTTAATTGTTAAACCTGCTGTCTGCTTTTAAGGAAGGGAACTAAAATGGATTATGAAAAGAGATAATTTTCCCTACGATACAATTAGTGTAGTGATGACTTGTCCTTAAATTGCTCCATATATAGTGTGTGTACCCTTTTGTCTTGATGGCTGCAATTGTGAGTCTGTTTTAGTACATTTCTGCTGTTGTGAGGGATGTCTAGGCCAATACACTTGAATTAAATGAGAACAGGTTCTCCCGAACACTCATTGAGGTCTTGTGTGAGTTTCCTAGATCTGTCTTCTGCCTGACTTGAGTGGGTCTATGTTAAGTTGATTAAATAACTTTGATCATCATTAACAACATGTAGCAGTATACACTTGTAACTTGGTCATCCCTATTTATTGTGTATCTAATCATAGTGTAAAGTTCTATTTGGAAAAAAAGTGAGTGGCTAACAGTTTGACAGGCAGATTTCTGCCTAAAATTTAATTTCTAAGCTTACTCTGCAGGACTTTTTTTTTTATTACTACCTCAAGAATTAAATATTAGATGCAAGGATGCCTTTGATCTTAGCAGAAAGCATAGAGAGAGAATATTATTTCAATTACGAGTATCACAAGTGCTGCTTTTTCAATAGATGTTTGCATCGTGTTCATTACCCTCTACTATTCCAATCAAGTGCATAATGAATCCACTAGAATATATTTGGAGTTAAAGCAACAGAATCATGGCAATATGAGCTATTCTTTACTCTTCAATTAATTACTCAAATTTAGGTAGAAATGAAATTAATCCATTGAAACTTTTTTGTGCCTTTTCTGCCTTATTCCCTTAAAATGGTGGTCATGTTACTTCTAGTGACAGGTCAATCCTATGAGAATATGGTGGCTGAGATCATGTCAATGGGCTATGAACGAGAGCAAGTAATTGCGGCGCTGAGGGCCAGCTTCAACAATCCTGACAGAGCAGTGGAATACCTTTTAATGGTGAGCAGTTTATTTTGCCTACACCTTGTTCTTTCACTTTTATAGCCCTTGCTAAAGAATTTTAGCTTTGATTTACTTGTAATTTTGAATATTCAGTCAGCGAAAGTAATACATCTCCATAGAAGAACAACATCTGTAAGGCTGAGATTTGGATTTTGGAGGATCATAATGTGTTAAAGGAAATACCAGCGTCATCCCTAACTACCTCTATCTCTTCCTTGCTTTTATTCATTGTTGATTTGTATGAATATGTATGTAAAGTATATCCAGTTACAGTGATAGTTTTAAGTGCCAATGGCTGGCTCAGTGATTCTGTTAGTGACATTATTACCTATGTTTTTGTACTAGTATCTATAAAATCACAGAAGCATTTTTTTAAATTCCAGTTAATAATTTTTACTAATAATGCACAGTGTTATCAATAATATACTTTCCAAACAGAAAGATTTAAGAGGTTTATTTTAAAGTTGCTGAATTTACTGTTTTTTTAATTTAAACAGTGTTTTGGAGAAGAAACAATTAGTCATTTGATAAATGTAGTTTGAAGGGTGAAATGAACTTCACTGACATGAGAGGAGATAGAGTGGCTTCACTTTAATGGAAATCTTATGAGTTGTTTTAGGGGCTTTTTGGATTACTTTGCCAAGTATAGCTTAATCTGATTGGTGAATCATAACCACAAAGAATCTGGCTGGGGAGCTTGTTAGTATTTCCAATGTGTTTAATTTTTACTTGAGCATACCATTTTTTCCCTGATGTGGTTTTCTCTTATGCTAAATCTAAACTTCCTTAAAATCTTGAAGACAGGTATCTTGAACCAGTCCTTCCAAAATATATCCTAATTGAATTTCTGGTAGACTGATAAGAAAACTGGCATCTTTACCTCCAGTTATCAAACTTTCCTTTTGTTAATGAAGTTCTTCTTTCGTAATTACAAGTCACTGTTGTGCTTGCTACTTACATTAATGATCCCAAGGCTTTGTAACCTGCAGTTTTTAAACAGAAAACAAATGTTTTGAGTACATGGATGTAAAAAGTTCAGTTATCTATTATCAGGCCAACAAAAGGTGATAAATACTGTGTTGTCCTAAGGGCAGATGGAGTAGCTCCCATTTATCTGCCATAAGTCTGGAATCTCACTGTTTAGTCTTCAAAATACCATAAATTCAGTGCCTCCTGTGAATGTTGGACTGGAATGCATGTACCAGTCGTGTACAGTGTGCAGTGCTTGTACACTCAGTCTGGTATTTACCTGCTGTAGCTTATTTCTGTTCAAGAACTCCTAAATAGAAATAGAGCATCCCTACAATGGTGTTCAACACGTGACATGTCTACCAAATAGTTTTAAGTCTGACTGGTCTGAGCAGTTAATTTCTACTCCCTTACTAGGTCCTGTGTTTAAAATGGGTCTTTCTGTTACATAAGCTGGTCCCTTTCTATTTCATGCTCTCCTTGACGGAGAATATCTTTTCTTTGCTTGTCCTCTTTGTCATCCTGGAAAAGGAAACATCCTGGAAATAGAGGAACAGCCTCCTCTATTTCCTCTATATGCTCTTAGAGACCATATTAGCTGCCAGACTTAGTTTGTCCTTCTAGAAGAATCCTGTTGCTACAAATGTTTTTTTCTAATTGTCCTGGATCTGCTGGAGACTAAAGATCATAGAATCATAGAATGGTTTGGGTTGGAAGGGACCTTAAAGATCATCTAGTTCCAACCCTCCTGCCATGGGCAGAGACACCTTCCACTAGACGAGGTTGCTCAAAGCCTCATCCAGCCTGGCCTTGAAGACATCCAGGGATGGGACATGCACAACATCTCTGGGCAACCTGTTCCAGTGCTTCACCACCCTCTACGTGAAGAATTTCTTCCTGATACCTAATCTAAACCTCCCTGCTTTCAAGTTAAACCCATTACCCCTTGTCCTGTCACTACAGACCCTTGTAAAAAGTCCCCTCCCACCTTCCTTGTAGGCCCCCTTCAGGTACTGGAAGGCTGCAGTGAGGTCTCCTTGGAACCTTCTCTTCTCCAGGCTGAACAAGCCCAATTCTAGCAGCCTTTCATCTTAGCAGAGGTGCTCCAGCCCTCTGATCATCTTCATGGCCCTCCTCTGGACTTGCTCCCACTGGTCTATATCCTTCTGATGTTGTGAGCTCCACAGCTGGATGTGGTACTCCAGATGGGGTCTCACAAGAGCACAATACTGGGGCAGAATCCCCTCCCTCGATCTGCTGGCCACACTCAAAATAAATTTCTTTTCAGTTAATACTGATCCATTGGTAAGACTGTTCTTTGACCCTCTACTCTAGCTGCCTCCAAACTATCATCACTGTTATCTTTTTATGTAATCTGTAGGGTAGGATTTAGGGTGTTGAGAGTTGTAAGTGTATACTGCTGTCCTGGTTTAAAGAATCAGTACACCAAAGGTACCTGTAAAGTGTTGGAAAGAAAATTTAAGGAGAGTATCTAAGCTTAAAGTGTAGCTGTTCCTTAAATGAGCCCTGTAGATTTCAGTTGTTCATGGTTCAGATGACCAGCTGTTCAGTTTTCATGGCTGATGATCTGGAGGTAATCCGATATGCTTGAGCTGTGGTCATGGAAAGAGATCTCAATTCCAAATGACACTGTTTCTTTTTATTTGCCCTAGACTCGTCTTTGGAGGCATTTGGATTCAGATCTCTTTGATTTCCTAAACCTTAATTAAGGAGAAGTCCTGTCTTTCCTCCAACAACCAGACTGGTTGCAATCTCTTTGTTGGGAAATTTTTAGGAGAAGTTTCTTTACTGTGAGGGTAAAGAAACTGTGAATTAAACATTGAACAGGCTTCCTGAAGAGTTGGTCAGTGTCCCATGCATGTCATTGAGGCATTTGGACAATGCCTTTAACGTGTGTTACCTTTTGGTCAGCCCTGGAGTGGTCAGGCAGTTGGACTAGATGTTTGTTGTAGGTCCCTTCCAACTGGAAATATTATGTTCTAAATGTGTACATTCTTTAGGCTGGGCCTCATGTGATTATTACCCTGTGGAGAACAATGTCAGCTAAAAACTCTGGTGCCCAGTTAAACGGTAGAAAATTGTTTAAGCCACAATGAGACAAAATGGCCTTTTAGCTGTCCAAGCAATGTTTATATTCAAAATTAATTATCTGTGAATTGTTATTGTGCTTTATGCTGTTGGATATCTGTATGAACAAGGTGTATACACCTCACTAGTTGGTCTTCCTACAATTGTACACAGCCTCAGTTATTTGAAGAATGATACCTCAAGCTTGTAGTTTTAAGAGTTAAGATGATATTCAAGATGACAAACCATATTTAAATAAATTCGGTTGGACTAGTTTAGACAGCGCTTCCATTCAAGAGCAAACCAGGTTTAAACAAGCATGTGCTCTTTGATCTGGGCACAGATTGCAGTGACATGTGCCTGTGAATAGGTGAAATCAAGCAGAGTTCCTACAATGTACTTTGATTCACAGAAATGACTGATTTAATGGGAACAGGTATTTAAGCAGTGCTCTGTAAGGCATTAAGAACACTGTCCAGTTCTCCCTTTCTAGATGCGGCCTTTATATTAGCTGCGTATTTGTCCTTTTTGGTAACTATAGTGATGAATGTATCGTGTGAAGAACATGTTACAGCAAGATTTTTAATCTACATTGCCTACCAGTGATTTCTATGGAAGGTTTGTAAAACCTCTTCATTGTCTGGTTACACTGAAGTTCTATGACTATTTCCACCCACCCCATTCCTTATATTTTGCACTTCCCAAACTGAAGGGTGCCTTCTCATTTGAGGCAGATGAAATATATTCAGTTACACCAGTGCTGCTGCCTTCTCAAACTTAGCTGGTGTCATGGTTTAAGTCCAGCCAGCAAAATACCATGAAGATGCTCTCACACCTCTTCCCCATGCCCCCTCACCCCTCATTCTCCAGCAGAGGGGAAGAAGTAGAGGGAAAAGAAGGAAGCTAGTAAAGTTAAGAACTATTTACTAATTGAATATACCTCAACAAATTGTAGTTATTAATTTATATATACATAAGTACTACTAAGTAATTAATATAATGGAAAATAAAACATCATACAGTTTTTCACCACCTGCAGACTGATGGCACAGCCAGGTCCTGAGTAGTTAGAGTCAGAGCCAGAGAGCCCTGGAGCGATTGCAGCAGAGTCCGTGCCAGCTCTATCAGTGACAGCATGACCGGGAAAGCCAACTGACCCACCAACTCACTCATGAACAAGACAGCGAAAGAGTTAGCAAAGCAGCTAACAAATGAGTTAGTGAAGGAGCAAAAAGAGATTTAGATAGTGTGATGGATCCCCAGCCCACTCCTCACTTGTGTACTGAGTATGACATACTATGGAATGAAATGCCCCTTTGATCAGTCTGGGTCAGCTGTCTGAACTGTGTATCTCCTCCCACACTGCCTGTAGTGAGAAAGCTGAATATGCAGCTTCAGTATCAGAAGCTGAGAGAGATCTTGAATTTGGTGCAAGCACTGCCCAGCACCAGCCAAAAAAGACACCTTATCAATACTTTTCTCAGCGTAAATACAGAAACCTAGCTTTATACCAGCCATTGTAAAGAAAGTTAACTCTTTCCTGATTAAAGCCAGCACACCTGGATTGAATACACTGGAAGAATGTAGAAAAACAGGTTTTTTTGATGTCCTAGAAACTGACTGTTGTGAGGTAGAGGATCTCTTATGGTCTTGCCCTTTTGGGGTTGGGTTTAACATAGCTCCCCCAATGTTACTTTGTATCAGAAGGTTTACTGCTTTGTGAAGTCTACCTCTTGGGTTCCTGTCAGACAGCTTCCTTTACCTGTACCATCATGGCTTGTAGTCATATAGGAATCTTTCTTGGTGTCTGTCCTGTGCTAAGCTGCCTAAGTTTCTGGGCTTCAGAGAGGAGGATGGAAAGCACAAATTTGGTTCAGTGCAGAGGCAAAAGCATGGTTAGGGTGGGGAGTTTGAGTGATTCCCATGCAGGAATAAGTCATAGAAGAAGGTATGTCTCAGTTATATAACCACATTCTAATATACTGTAATTTTTTGGGATTTTTTTACATTTGTCATTTTCATCCCCGTGAGCAATTAGTTCCTATACAAAGTTGTCTGCACATGGAAAATAAACAAAATAAATGTTAACTGCTAAAATTTGATAATATGCTGGCCTTTTCACACTTAAGATACAGAAAATGACAGTTGTCACTCTGAGTTGAGGAAAGAGGTACAAAGAGCCATGTTGTTATCTCTTCTAAACTTCTTGCCAGATTTTGCCGTATCTATAATCTCACTGTGTACTATTTTGTTCATGTAATGTACCTTTATTTGCAGAACAGTGTACCATATTGTAACAGTGTATTTTGTTTAAACTTGTTCACTTGAATAACTTAAATAGTTGCTTTGAATTGTTCTGTTTACAGACTAAAATGTATTTTAATCTTAGGCAGTGCATGCTTTACCACCTCACTGTACAAGCCACCTATTTTTCTTGTTTAAAAAAAAAAACCAACCACAAAGAAAACCACCACACCAACAACCAAAAAACCCAAGCAAAACCAAACCTCTCTTCACCGTATTCTCTTCAGTTGTAAATGCATACCAATTATGGTATCTTGCTTTGTATCTGCAGTGAAAGCATTCATATTTTCTGCTTTCATTCTGAAAACTAAATAATACACGTAGTAAAACAAATATCTTTCAGCATTCTGTAGGTAATTATGTGAACTGTGGCTTTAGGGTATACCTGGAGATAATCAGGCTGTGGCTGAACCCTCTCAACCAGCAAGCACTGGTGCCTCTCAGTCTTCAGCAGTGGCAGCAGCAGCAGCAAATATACCTATGACTACTAGTTCATTAGAAGGTAAGGAAGGTTATATTTGTGAGGATATGATAAACACATGCACTTAAGCATTCTCTGGTTCAGGGAATTTTAAGTTCCTGGTGCTTGTGAACTGGAAACAGCTGTAACATGGAAATTCCAAGTATGGTACTTGGAACAAATGACTTGTATTTGGATATATCTGGAATAAAGTATGAATTTTCTAAAACGTGCTGTGAACTTGCACAATTCCTTTGATTTTAGAAGGGATTTAAATGTAAGGCCATAAATGTGGAGGGGTTGTGTTTTCTTTCAGACTGCGTTTTTCTATTTCTGTAACTAACTGTGCACTGTCAACTGTGACTATACTAATGTGTTTACTACTTGGAAGTTGGAATATCAAGGGAAAAGCCTGTAATAAAGCTGTGAGGTGTAGCACCTGAGAGATGTATCCATGACCTAGGACTCCTCACTTAGCAGGGCAGCACATGGACAGATTTTGATGCCTGCTGAAGAGAACTCTCTCTTAAAAGGGAAATAAATGCATGAAAGGCACATAACCAAGGAGTAGGAAAGGTCTGTCTTTAAGCTGTGGCAGAGATGATGTTCAAGATGTAAGCCTTGTTAGAGGCCAGAGTGTTAAAGATACAAGTAATAGTAACAGGCATGTGTGACATCCATAAAGACAGGATTGTGGGAGTGGCATATTTCAGAGCACTTCAGACACTGATGCAGTCAAGTCAGTACCTGACAGAATAGGATACATGAGAATGCATGAGTGACTTGAGAAAGACAGAAATGACCTATTGCAGGAAGTAGAGAACTGTTGTAGGCATACAGACAAGACCGTACGTTGAGTACGTGTCTCTGAGGTTACTCTGAGATGAGATGTAGAGAAAAGTGCTGGAGTTCAAGGACAGAAGGCTGTTGGATCTTAGAAGGCTGAGTGAAAAGAAAATGCATTGCTTAACCTTAGTATAAAAAATTCTTGCTTAAAGCTAGACCAGGTGTGAGGAAGCAAGCTCATCTGTTCTTCAGTGAGGGGTGTATTGTCCACTTTCATGTCCTGTTTCTGTCCACAGTTTGGGCATGTATTTTATTAAGAACCTTGGTAACTTTTTAAAAAAGATGTTATTGATTTTCAGGACATCCACTTGAGTTTTTACGAAATCAGCCTCAGTTCCAGCAGATGAGACAAATTATTCAGCAAAATCCTTCTCTGTTACCAGCATTGCTACAGCAGATTGGACGAGAAAATCCTCAACTACTGCAGGTGAATCTTAAAACAAAATAATGCTTCTAATTTTGATGTAGCTTTACAAGAAAGGGATATGTTGATGTTAACTGGGTTAGTGTTAATAGCTGTTACAGTGTTCGGCTTTTTGACAGTAGTTGCTGTACAGATGATATTTTCTATGACATTAGAAATGAGTCTGAGTCTCTGAGAGGTGCAAAAGGGCATCAGGAAGAGCGAAGGTTCACTGCACTTGAACTGGAACATGAAATTGCATTTCTTATGGTTAGATTTCATCATTTTTCTCTCTGTACTTTTTACATATTCTTTTGACTAATTAATTCACTGAAAATATTCTTACTTGCCTGTTGACAGGCTTAACCATGCTTCATTTCAGTATATTTGTTTCTTTTCTTCTATACATCACAGCAAATAAGCCAGCACCAGGAACACTTTATTCATATGTTGAATGAGCCAGTTCTAGAGTCCCGCCAAGGTTTCAGTGGCAGTGACGATGGTGCCAGCACTGAAGGATTGTCAGAAGCTGGAAATGATCATATGAACTACATTCAAGTAACACCTCAGGAAAAAGAAGCTATAGAAAGGGTGAGCCTTTCTTTGAAAAGTTACTTTACTGTTGCTGTAGGGTGTTGACTTTGTTGCTTGCTTACGACACGCCTTAACTTGGTTTATGCTCACTAGTTCTCCATCACTTTTGGTATTTCATATCTGATATTTCATAGCTGTTGTCTTATTTCAAATCACATCTCTTCTAGCTTTATAACAGTTAAGTCTTAAATCTCTTGAATCTGTCTTACTGTGAAGATGTGAAGTTTTAAGTGACCAGAGGCCATCTGTAACAGCTGATGGTTGAATGGGTTTCCCTCAACAATAGGAACTCTGACAGTAATTCCTCTTGCAAAAGCCTCTGACATTACTGTTCTAGATCATGCTAGGGTAGGTTTCCAGGTACAAAGGTGTGTCTGCAAGAGCACTGTTTGCGAAGTACTTGGATAGTAAGAGCTCTCATAATTAAGTAGATTAGTTGAAGTCACTACTTAACTGAGTTACTTGTCTGTCCATGAGAGTTAGTTAATCGTAGCTTTCTAAAAATACAGGTTAACATGTCTGTAAAAATGTACTTGGGGCATTATATTGTAACACTATGTAAATACGGATCTGCATAGATGGCAATACCTCTGTGATTTTTCCTAGACCAAATTGCAAAGAATTATGTTATACTGAGGTAGTGTTTTTTGTATCTTAAAGACTGTTTTTCAAGTGGCAAAGCAAAAGGTTGTGTAAGGATAATCGGGAAAGAACAGTTTAAATGTAGATATCAATCCTCTAGATCTCAAGGAAATTGACAATAAAATTGATGTAATGAAACTGTTCATCCACATACATTAAAACCATTTTATGCATTAGCTCTGCAACCTGTTCCAAAACCCAACAGACATCTGTATGCTTCTTACCTTTTCCATGTAAGACACACCTCAAAACTTAGGTGCCTTAGTATTCAGCTGACACATTCATACTGTTTTGTAAGCATATAATTAGATCTTAGAATGATTTATAAGGCATAATAGAACACAGTTTCTCACAGTGATTTGATCTGCCCTGTATATAAAATGCCTTGTGTGTGCTGTGAGGATTTTAAGAAATCACCAAATGGTTGTATACACGTGCCTTTGCCTAAGTCAAAGATTTGCTGAATGCCTTTAAGTGCAGACTACTCATTTTCCTTGGCACAGAATAAGCCCTTCTCTAGTATTCTCATTCACTGTTGAGAAGAGTATATTACTGAAGAGTAATATACAAAGTGTACTTTCTAAATGTGTTTCTTTTCTTCAGTTAAAGGCATTAGGATTTCCTGAAGGACTTGTGATACAGGCATATTTTGCTTGTGAGAAGAATGAAAACTTGGCTGCCAACTTTCTTCTACAACAGAACTTTGATGAAGATTGAGAGACATTTTTGAATTTCACACCTCACACCAGTGCATTACACTAACTATTCACTGGGTTGTCTGGGATATTTGGGCTTATATTCATATGCTTGGTGTATGGTATATAGATGATTGGCAAAGAGTGAATACAAGAAACAAGGAAAGCAACGATTATGTCTGTTTTAAATGAGCAGATGTAGAAAATCACACCATGTAAAATAATATACAACCAAAAATCAGCTTCTGCAGATAATTAGTTCCTTCTGTAAACTGTAGGTTAACTTTTTCTAGGTTTTCACTGTTACTGTAGTAGTTCAGGAATTGTAGTGTAATGCACTGCTTCATGTTCCTTTCTACTTAGTATTGGTATGAGAAGTAGCCTGTGCTACCTAGATTTTACAATCTGTATTTCATGGCAACACTGGATAGGAGCTTTGTGAAATCCAAAAGATCTGAGCAAAGGTAAACATGAATGCCAAAATATGGGTAGTTATTTTGCTTTTTCCGATGTGCTAAAGTAGTATAATAAGCACAGTATTTTGTTTAATGCTGGATTAAAACATTGTTGGCCTTTTTTTTTTTTCTTTTCCAAATGAACACCCATTTTAGTTAAGCGTCTTGATCATTGAGAAACACCATCCTCTCCTTTTCCCCCTTCAAATGATCTGAGAAGCTGTATACATACAGGTAAAATTATCCTGTTTATGTATTTTCTTTTGGGGGAAATTATAGATATCTAATTATTGTTCACTTCAATGTTAGGTTGCAGTAGAGTTTTAAAAGCAATAGTTGCATGTTTGGTTTTGTTATATGTGCTCTTGTGAGTTGAATATTCTTTTCTGCCAGCAAACAAAATGCAAGCTTAATTTTGTCTGCAGCAATTAGTCTTTATCAAATCAAATTTCACCTTCCTACCTTTGCTTAACCAGCTTTTACAATACAGCTGTACACATCTGAAGATACTGGGGTTCTGTTGCTCTTGAGTAGATTGTAATGGTCAAGCGGTTTCTGTTCAGTAAGGACTTTTTTGATATATTCACTTTGAGGAAGAGAAGTTCATAACTTGGGATATCAAACAAACAGTGAGGTTATTCGAACCCAAAAGAATCTGCACTCATACCTTTCTATGGAAAATAAGTTCTGGTTTTAGAGTTTGGAATCTTACTTCTTGGTACCTACTTGTCATTTATTTTGTTTAGTCATCATAAAATGTAACAATTGTCTGTTAATATACATTGATGTTTAAAGACAAATTTGCCCATCATTGAAATGCTAGCAGTGAAAACAAATTATAGTTAATTCTAAAGCTGTTATGTGCTGAACACAGCTTGGGGATATTTTGTTTCTACTGTTGTACTCCAATTACCTGGATTACAAATGTTGTATCTCTACAGTAACCAATAAAATATTATTCATGGTATACCACTGAGCTGTTGTACCATTAATGATATTAGAAATTTAGTGGTACAACTCAAGTTATTTTCTGCTTAGGTTGTACATCAGTGGGTTAACTGCTTAACTACTACTGAAGTTCAAAGTACAAGTCAAGTGTCTTGAAAAGAGACTGAGAAGTGTATTTTCTTCATCAGTTGGCCACAGGCTGTTAAATAATTGCCTGTACGAAACAGTGAAATGTGTTGAAGCCTTTTACTTCTTCTTTTTATCCTTACACATCTGTGGTGTTTTTCCAGATAGTTTGTGTTTTAATTATTCAGATTTTATTCTTTTAAAATTTCATAGGTTTGTAATGTCTAAGTGATCAGTAGTGCAGTCCAAATCTATAGGTAGGAGGTGTGATACTGCTAAATAGAAAGTAAGTCTTTCATAATGCTTTTAGTTTAGAGAAGTTAATGTTACTACTAGAGTCAGCCAGTAGATTTCAGCTAAATAGGATTCTAAGTATATTTATAGACTGGAAGACATGGATTTTGATTTAACATTCTGCAGGCAAAAAGGGGTTAATTGTTATTTGTTAAAGGGCTGGCTGCCAGGTACTTAAAAAAAAATGCCAAATTCATACAAGGACTTCCTGAATGTGCTGTACTACTTAGCTAATACCTAACTAAGACAAAGCTTTTTAGTTTGTGGGAATCTTCTGAACTGATCTGTACTTCTGTACTGGTGTTTCAGTCTACTCCCTCTAAGTTTGATTCTGAAATGTTTACTTGTTAGAAATGTATTTGATTTAAAGACTGATGATCTTGGTCTTTGTAAAAAAAGCTCATAGCTTTGGTCATTTGTAACTTTGTGTGCTGAGAGACTGAGGGATTTTACAGCTGCTGTGGTTGAAGCCTTAGTAGTAATTCTGTTTCCATTTTTCAGTGGTGGAGCAGTGTTTATGTGCCTTCTGGTGAAGGGTGGGTATTCTGACCTTGACATGCTAGCAGAAACTGTGATCTGTTCAGTAGTGGGATACTTGACAGGGTGAATCAATCCCTTTGTAGTTGCTGGCATAAGGGAAGCGTAAGTGACCTGAACAAGTTCTGTAAGTTGCAGAGGTATGCTGTGCCTTGTTTTCTACCAAGTATTTCCAGGAATTGACTGCACAGTGCTCTTCAGCTTGTTTGCCGCAGATCTCTTCAGGGTATGGGGAGCAGTCTCCTCAGGGCTTAGTGAATAGTATCTAAAACAAATGAACAAATTTCTTCCTAAATTTTGGTACTGGAGTCCTTACTTCTGTTGTATAACATCTAAGTATCTTCTTAGCGAAAAGCTATTCATTATTCATTTTTAATTAGGATTAAAAACATTGCTATGAAGTCATATTTATTCTGTAGTTGTCTATTCTTGTGTCTTCTATACAGCTGCATTGTAATGCTATGGTTCATTAACCTTTTCCAGAATTCTCTAAGGAATCTACCTAAACCCCAAGAGATTGGATTGGTGATATGTTTTGTTCTTACCACAGTATGAGTGTTTTAGGAATGTGAGATAGTCATTCATGAAGTCAAACTATAGATCTGATTTTGAAGTGTTGGACTGAGCTTTATTTCAGGAATACACATGAATGAATTAATAAAACAGGGAGATGCAAAGCGAAGTCCTCAAATAGTGTAAGCAGATCTGTCATCTGTGGTTTCATCGGATATTTCAGTTGCATTTCCAGAGATTTATAGACAGGCATGTTAATGTGTTAATGTTTAAATTTTTCTGCTGATGTTTTTCTAAGCCCAGCTCTGTCTGGTCACAAAACTAACCTAAAGTTTCTGCACTTGACAATACTATGTAATTTAATTGAAACAATACGGGGGGAGTGAAGCGAGAACATCTTTGTCAGTAATATTTTTAGTTCTTCTTTATTGCCTGGTTTGGGATGCACTGGTTTGAGATTCCAACAAAATATTCAATACAATGTCTTTTGAAAAACATTACTTTGAAACTACTGTTACGTGGTTATGAAGCCATAAACTATAAGATTTTGTGACTTCACTGAACTATCTGAAAAAGTATGCTTATTCCACCAGTGATGAAATTATGTATGGAAATAATTTATTACCACAAAATATATTGACTGATCAACGTTGCTGATGGTTGGAATTTATGGCTGCAAGCTGTAGCTGATGCTGCTGATTTCTAATTGCCATTTGCCAGTGCTGTGTTTATATATTTCCTCACAGGATGTATTGTCTGCAAGGAAAATAAGGATGTTAACCTTCTTGGTTCTTGTTAGCACTCAACTTTTTTCCTTCTTCCTGGTGGTAAGAAATACTTATTCTCTGGGCAAGAAAAATAAACATTATTAATAACACACAGTTTAGCTCCAGTTCTAATCAAAGCACATATGAATACACAAGCATCTGTGACAATTCTGGTCCATACAGCAGTGAAATAAATACTCATGCATGTTCTTCATTAATAGTAGTAGTCTGGAAAATGTTAGTGTAGATGCTGAAGATACTTATGTAAGAATTCACTGACAAAAATGCCAAAGCAAATGGATGAAGTGAAGATAAGTATCTGCTGTAAGCTTTTGTTTGCTGAAAGTTTAGTGCTAAAAATAGTACTTTTGTGAAGGGTTTGGGTTGTGTATACCTAGGCAGCTGTGCCTAGAGACCTTGAATACAGTTTGCTTTCAAAACGAGTACTTTTCTATTCTCATAATGGCTCAACACAGTGAATGTTGTGTGCTGCAGAGGGCAAGGACCAACATCCTTGAGATTCTTGTTGTCTGAAATAGGGATTTTAGAGGTGGAAGTCTAGAAGTAACCAGATATTCCAGCAGGCAGCTCTGTTAACCATCCCAGGGGAGAAGGATTAATTGCTGTCCTTGTAATGTGAAGCATTTGACTTTAAATATGCAGCAACCAAAGATCAAGAAAATGGGGCAATGTCTTCCATGTGTATGTGTGGCTGTGTCTGTAGAATTGGTCAAAATCTTGTAAATTCAGGTAAATATTTTTAATTACATATTTGAACCAAGTGTGCTGCTTCCCTTCATCACCCTCTTGTCTTTACCCAAAATCTCCGGTTTTTTTCTTCTTTTCTCTTCACTATTGGAAAAAGTATGCAAGCTGCAATGGTAGTAACATCAGCTCCTGTTGAAGAATGGAAAAACTAGATTTCAGAGGCAAGGATTGAGGTGTTGAATAAGGAAACGGTCAGTCTTCTGGGTGGGAGAGGAAACAAACCACTGAGTTCTGGGTACCTGAGATAGACATTTCCTCTGTGGGGAGCTTTGTGTTGAAGCAAGGACTCTGCATCTGGAAGAGGCAGTAGAAAAGTTACTCAGTGTGTTGAAGTTTGAGAAGGAGTGGAGTCGTGTGGCAGGACCAAACGGAGAGTCAGCTTATGAGCAAACTCGCTGGGATTCTGCATGTATAAATAAAGAGTTAGATTGATAGAGAAGGATTAACACTTCTATTCAAGGAGACTTCTAAGGCAAAGAAATGATAGATTTCTTTTCAGCCAGTAGCTCTTTCTCTAGCACTTGGCTTCTAGAAGTAGCTCTAAGAGATGATAAAAGAGGTGACAAAACAAAGAGGGCAATAAAAAGAAATAAACTAGCTTTTACCTTGGCATAAATCTCTCAGACAGCATGTAGTCTTGGGTACTGTAACTGCACTGAAGTGCTCCTGCTTAAAGGTGGATAGAAAAGTAATTTGGTTTTTATTTCTAGCTACACGTTA